GTTCTGCTCCAATGGCTGCCTGAGGTCGCGTGGCGGGTGGCCAGAGCCTGCTGCAGTGGGAGGCTGGGACCTGCCACGTGGCAAAGCCTGCTCAAGCGGTTGGGGCCTGCTGCGTGGTGATGTGTGTGGTGGGGTACCTACTCCAGTGGCTGGAGCCAGCTCAGGAGGCCAGGGCCTGTTTCAGTGGCTGGGGGCTGTCGCGAGCTGGGGCCTGCTCAATGGCGGGGGCCTGCCGTGGCTGCATGGCAGGGGGCTGTAGCCTACTGTGGCCATATCGCAGGGGGGCCTAGGCCTGCTCTGGTGGCCGGGGCCTGCTGAAGTCATGTGGCAGGGATTGAGGCTGCTCTGTTGTCTGGGTCACGTGATGGAGGATTGCTCCGGTGGCTGGGGCTGCTCCTAGGGCCAGATCCAGCCTTTCCTTCTGCTCCCCCAATCCTCTGTCCCCCTGTCACATGTCACTGCACCCACCCTAGGCACCTCACTCCCTGCAAACCCTGGGCACTTGCATCAGCTTCCCTCTGCACCAGCTGGGGACTCACAGCCAGCCCTGTGAGAAGTAGCCTGGGGCATTCCCTGCCCTGTACACAGGCTGCCAAGGGAGCAGCACTCCCTGGAGGGGCATGTCTCACCTTCTTGACACAAGGTAGGTGTGATCTCTCTGGGAGAGTCTCTTGGGGAGCAACACCACTGGTGGGTGCAAAAGTGGCACACATCCAAACAAGCACATATGACCTCATTGTTGGTGTACAAGACAAACCTCGCTCCACTCATGGATGGAAAATCTTAGAGGGAACATTGGTTCCAATAAGGAAAAAATAAGTTCGAGGATATGTCCATCAGTGGCTACTAGCCAGAATGGGCAGGGATGGTGTCCCTAGTTTCCGTTTGCCAGAAGCTGGAAATGAGAGACAGGGATGGATCATTTGCTGACTCCCTGTTCTGTTCATGCCTTCTGAAGCACCTGGCATTGGTCTCTGTTGGGAGAGAGCATACTGGGTTAGACAGACCACTTGTCTGATCCAGTCTGGCCATTCTGATGTTCTTATATAGAGCCAAAATGTATCCCCTGCTGTAATCCACTAGACCCCATGTTCCTTCTAGAGCTGAGATAGAGCCAAGGAGTCCTGACAGTCTCTCTTCCCACAGAGTCAGTAACAAACTAAGAATATATATATTATCATTTTAATGCTAACCAGTGTCCCTTAAGTGATTTGATACAAGAGGTCAGAACATGTTAGAATTAGAGTTGAGTGGGTCTAATATTTATTTAATTTTCTTTCTTTTATATAGGAATTATATACAGTGCTCATGTCAGCTAATTTCTAAGTTATCTCCCAAAAAACTAGATGTTTCAGTGCTTTAGTAGCCCCTGGAAAGACATGGTGTGTGTGGGGGAGAGAGAGGTTATGGTATCGGTCCCCTCCAATTTGCTGCTTGGCTTGTACTCAGTAACGCTGCTGAGGCCGCTGTCCTCAGTCTGCCCCCTTTCATTCTGTCACTCTTCCTTCCCCTCCATTGTAGCATGTACAGGTAGCCCCCCCCCATCTGAAATGGTGCCCCGGTTTAAAATGGGGGTTTAATTCTGAAACCCCTCCTCATTCAGAAAATGAGGCTCACACTTGCAGCATCCAAGCACAGCAGGCCTAACAATGCAGTGGGCATTAGCAGAAAATATTTCAGACCAATGCTGTAATTCTGCATAGAGCTGCATTCCCAAGACTAAAAAAGAACCCTCACTGAATTCACTGGGTAACTTCTCATCAAAAAGAGGATCCAATTTCTGACCCAAGAGGGTCAAGACAAGAACCTTTTTCACATGATGGCTGCCTATACTTTGTAGTACACGCTGCTGCACAGAAAGGCCTGGCTTTCACACCAATGCTACTTACTAGTAATATGACTGGCAAATAGAACAAGTGGAAGGTCTCTGTATAAACATCAATGACTACTAGCCTTGAGCCTTGGTGGAGAGATAACATGGGTGAGGCAATTTCTTATCTTGGATCAATTTCTGTTGGTAGAAGGTACATGCTTTGGAGCTACACAGAGCTAAGGGCAACTGGGTTTGTAAGTAACAGAGGGATCTCAGGATCTCTCTGTCATTTTTCTTTGCGACTACCATGAGTCTGAAGTATTTAGTTTTGAACTGAGTCTGGAAAGATAATGTTTACAGGAGTTGTACTACTGAGGTTACTTAAGTGACTCTCTGCACTGCATCAGTGGAGCCAAAGGGCTGGAAATCTCCCGTCTCCTCAGGTACTGCAGAGGAGATGAATAATCTGAATGAATATTTGAATGGATGGACTTCTGTCAAAAGGTGAGAGACTTATGGATGGCTTGCTGAGAATCTCTCAGGAAGCCATCCATAAGTCTCTCACCTTGTGACAGAAGTCCATCCATTTTGGGGAGACCTGGTGCAAAATGGTGACTTCAAGAATAATGGGGTGAAAGAAATTTAAAGACCCTGACTGACCAAAAGAAGGAAACCTCCCAAGCTAACATCACTGAAACTACTGCAGGTCCTTTCCTAGAACTTAAATGTCATTAGTACCTTCCTACATGTTGGCCTGAAATCATTCAACAAACGGTTTAAATTGAAGAAACTTAAACAACAATGGTCCTGTAGCATCTTAGGGTATGTCTACACAGTGAAGTTATTTCAAAATAACAGCAGTTATTTCGAAATAACTTTCCTAGCGTCTACACAGCCATTCTGTTATTTCGAAATTAATTCAAAATAGCGGAGGGCTTATTTTGAAAATGGTAAACCTCATTCCACGAGGAATAGTGCCAATTTTGAAATTGCTATTTCGACATAAGCACTGTGTAGACGCATATTTCGAAATAGGGGGCCTCTAGCCCTTCCCAGGATGCCCTGCTGGCTGCCCTGGCCACAAGGCTACTCCTGACCTGAAGCCCTACTGGTTCCAACCAGCCTTAAATGCAGTTCAACGTCCACTCAATGTGGATGTGCTATTTCGAAATAGAAAAACGCTATTTCAAAATGCATTTTGTGTGTAGACACATTATTTCGAAATAAGCTATTTCAAATTAACTATTTCAAAATAGCTTATTTTAAAATAACACTGTAGTGTAGACATACCCTTAGAGACTAACTGAAAAATACATAGATAGTATCATGAGCTTTCGTGGGCACAACCCACTTCTTCAGCTGCTACCCCTATGAGACTATTTTAATTGAATTCTTCTGGCAGTGATCAGGTGTGGCAAGTGAGACAAGACAAATTATCCAGAACTAACCAAGGTTCGGATAATTCTGCCTTAACCGTACGCTATCTTGGATGTAAAATACATCACATCCTTTCTTTTCACTCATGCTCTTACCTCTCCCATTTTCAGTATTGCAATGCATTCTCTTACCATATTTCAAGGTATCATCCCAGTTATTTAGGATTAATACATATACACAATCATTTGCAAATTTAAATCAAACTGAGTTAACCTTCTTGGTTAAGGTTTATTTAAATTTAATTAATTTCATTATTAGTTTTTCTGTAGGACTATATAGGGTTGTAAAATGTAGTTAACTATGATGCAGAGTTCCAATTGTTAGTAGTACCTGAACATGGAAAATGTACAATTTATGACAATGTTGCAGTCAGATAAAAGATGTTTACTTTTCTCTGGATTAAGGGCCACAGCAGAGACCCTTATAAAATTAGTTCTCCCATGTGTATTTCAGGTACAGCATCAGAACTGCTTGGTGTAATTTTTAACTACACTTTTACAGCCCTTGATTACAAAAATAAAGATAAAACTACTCTATAAATTAGAGTTAATTTTAGCAGCTTATTAGAAATATTGAATTCTGATCACCTCTATTAGACTCCAGACCTGTGTGTTCAAAGTTATCTGATAAATGTCAAACAAAGCAAACACAAAGAAACAAATTTAAAATTAATTTCAGTCATGTTGTAGGTGTCACAATGCACATACAAGAAAAACCACACACAAAATTTTGGTTAAAACACAGGACAAACATGCTGTAATTATGCTTACCAGCTTCAGAGAAAGCTTCATGTAAAAATATGTAGGGATACAGGAAAAAAGAGAAAAAAAACAACAAGCGCATCAGTAGAAGAGGAACTCCTTCAGTCCTACTGTAATAATAAAACAACACACACATTCTCCTCACTGTTGGTATGTGAAAATGATCAACACCACTAACAGATCTGTGCAAAAGTTCACAAGATGGGCCAAACACTATCAATTCAGCTGCCATTTCATCAGTGGAAGTGGAAAACAAAAAGATGTTACATCTTTGCATATTTATTTTGGCAGTGTTTGTGAAAATGTGACCCCAACTGACTTACTTTCATGGCTAAGATAGCAAGAGTCTCAAAGTATCCTTTTTAAGTAGCACCTCTCACTCCGAAAAGCTGATGCTTTACAGTACTTACATAATTAACTGGGTCACCACACTCAACACTGAAGCGGCAATAAAATTCCGCCCCTGCTGGGGTGGCAGCCAAAAAATATCACAGGTGCCAGCCACGCTCTATAACCAGGCCCGTATGCAGAAATTTCTGGGGTGTACATGCTTTTTTTTGTAAATGTGGCCCGCAAGTGTGTAAATGCACACCTCTCGTCATGTTTCCCCAAGTAAGCGGGGAAATCAGCATTCCCTCAGCTGGCCAGAGCATGGGGGAGGGAGGCTCGGGCAGCGCACCACTCCTGCCTTCCCTTGGCTAGCCGGAGCATGCTTACTTGGGGGACCATAGGGGGTGTTTTTGCACTCTTCGCACCCCTACTGTGTACGGGCCTGATAACTCTTTGGAGCAGGAAGTAGGGAATAAAAATGAATTTAAATTCTGCTAGGGCATGGTGACTAAACCTGGTACTCCTTCTGCAAAATATGCCGTAGGATCGCCAATGATTCCAAGTGGACAGGGCCTAGATTGCATACCCAAAAGGTAGTATTTCCTTACTATCATGCTGGAGCACTAATTAAGAGGGACGAGTGCTCTCTGTGTAATAACCTATACCACTTCTTGCAGCACCTAGGACATTCTTGTAGGTCTCCCATTCAAGTACTAATCATGCTCAACCTTGTTTAGGTTATAAGGTCTGACAAAATCACAGCAAAGAAAGCAAAGGGAAAATAACTCCCCCCTTCCTTTTCACCAATTATTTTCAATATAAGATTTTCACTTCTAGCTCCACGCTCACATTATCGACGGGTATACAAGTTCCCTATGTGATATATGCAATCTCTTTCCTCAAAGGCTACTATATTCCTTTATGCAAGCCAATACAATATCATTGTTAGCCCAAATTAAGGGCCTGAGTGTTGCACACTGAAGGCCATACAAGTGTTCCTGTCCTACAATACTTAAAAACACAGATATGGCATTGTAGTGCCTCATTACCTAAACTACAGTGCCTTCTTACTAACAATGCAAACACAGCAGCAACACAGGGTGCTTTCCAGGAACCATAGAAAATACAATCGATGTAGTACAGCAGCATTCTATTCTGAACCCAGGGGCATGAATTAACTGGTGTTTAATACAAGAAATCGGGGTTTAAAGGTTACTTGCTTGGAAGGGAAAGAAGAATCCAGCTTGGATTCAACCTCATTCTCTGATAACCTGCATTCTGACTGTGTTGCAAGCCTGGGATCACAAACTGCACAGCAAATCCCAAGAGCATTAAATGCAGTGAAATATGTACTCTGTGCTGAAACAGAGAAAGCCAGATGGAATATGGGGAGCAGGCACTCCATTCCCATCAGGAGTGAATCTGGATTTTAAGACTTCTGTGCACCTCTGCATTCAAAAGTTGCACACAATTCAAAACTAGGAAGTCCGTAGCTTATTAAATATCAGGACACAATAACCCAACAAAAGTGCCAGTTTTAAGAAAGCACAGTTCTCTCTAAGATTGGACCTAAAATAAAGGTAAGGCAGTGGAAGCACAAGTTAAGGAAATCTTCTTTGATATTGCATTTTAATCTGTGTGAAGTTTTTCACGTTCTTTACAGCAACTTGGCAGAGCCTAACATTATATTAAAATAAAAATAAGCCAAGCATTCAAACAAAAATGTAGTCTTAAAACAAATGATGATTTATTGTCCATAAATTGATCCAGGCTGAACTGCATTTTTGTGACAAGAAACTGGTCAGTTACGTTCTCTTACACTTAAGTCAATCAGTAAATAAAAATATGTTCCTATCCACAGAGCCTAGAGAAACCATACAAGCAAGTGGCCTATGAAATAAGCAAACAGAAGTAATCAATTTTTGAAAGGCAAGGATTAATTATACAAATGGAAAGAGGAACTGGCTAAATATCTTGTTGAAGAAATACAAGTCTAGGCAGCCCTTATTTTTGTAATTGCTTTAGCATTCCTGTGAACTTTAGCATAGACATGATCAGCACAAGTTGAGATCCTTGTACATAAATACACAAAACAGTTATGGTGCAGAAAAAAATATTTACCTACGAAGCACTCTAGAACGCACAAATGTTTGCTACATGCGCTACATTCTAAACACTAATAATTCTAAAGACTAAACTATGACCAAAGAGTCATCAGCATTAAACTATTCTTTTACTGTAAATTCAGCAAACGTTAAGGAGTAATAGACATTGCAAGTCTAATACATACATTATTGTTAAGTATTATGAAAAGCAGAAACTTTCATAATAAACATTCTCCAAAAATGGGGCATTGTTATACACAGCATGAATAACAAAGCAGAAAAATTCTAATAGGTTATAAATCAAAAGAAAACAATTAAATGCTGAATTTAAAAGCACAAAGTTTTCTGTTTTTCAAAAATGTTGACATCATATGGCAGCAATTCAACTGCTGTATATCTGACAAGACTGAAAACAAATTGTATTAAATGTAGTTACTAAATGACTGATTTTTTGTTTTTTGGCCAATTCTGTTGCATTTTGTGTTACAGTGCTTCTACACAGCAGGGCTTAACTTGAAATAAGCTTCACAAATTGAGCTTTGTCAATTGCGTAGCTTATTTAGAAATAGCTTATTTCAAAACTGGAAGCGTCTACACAGCACTTATTTCAAAATAGAGCACTCTTCCTCCAACTTCCCTTACTCCTTGTACAATGAGGATTACAGGAGCTGGAGTAAGAAGTCCTCCAGCTTGAGAGTATTTCAACATTTCAAAATAACTGCCTGCTGTGTAGACGGACTGAGTTATTTGAAAATAATGTTGTTGTGCAGATGTACCCTTAGAGATTTGCTCGGTTCATGGGTGAAAGGGGACTCTTCAAAAGATTATAGAATGATATTTCTAGAAAATGTAATGAGCAAATCCCACCCAACTGTCACTTTAAGACAAGTCTCACTAAGCCTTGCAGGGAACAATGGGGAGCCTAAAAGCCACAAGCTTCAATAACACATGAGAGACCATGAAAGCCAACAAGTCCATGTGTTATTGGATAATCACAGACACTAACCTCACTTACAGAAGACAGGGGAGTTAAATACATCACTGGACTCTGAGTTTATCCAAGAGTAAAATGTTTTATCTTTGATCTTGTAACAATTTCCTCTACAGTTTGGCTTTGAACAGCACATTCAGAAGTCACAGCTCTTGATCCCATGAACCACAAATTTACTGAAGTTCAGGGAAGCTTTGATGCTGGTAGAAGTGAAAGTTAAAAGCTCTATTGAAAAGGTGCAGTATATTACCACAGTATCATTGCACTGAATGCACTGCCATTGGTCATGGACAGATTTATGTTTACAAAGATCCACACAAATATGTTTAATAAATAGAGCGGAACCCTCTTAGAATACCTGTACACTGAACAACCTTACTGTATAGCAGAGCTCAGCCCACAAATCTAACCAGACTTGCAATCAGCGTACGGCAATGAGTTGAAATAGTTTGAGATTATGCTTATCTTTAGAGATTTGTGACAGCTAAACTCACTTAAAGCAGGTTCCACTGTGGTCTGAATTTCCCATGTTTAACCATTTTAGTTGTGCCAATTCCAGCTTCTCCAGTACTGACAACTGCCCCTCTTTTACAGGATCAGTTGTTTCTGTCAGTAAGTCATGGCTGTCCTCACACTGAATTTCCAGTTTCCTTATGCCTTCCGCAAACATCTTCACTGAAGCATCCTTTTGCAGTATTGTAAGTGGGGTTAGCGACTGTGCAGCAACTGTATGGGTTGATCACACCATACACAAACTTACAACATAGTCCCTAGCCTCAAGGGCACACGTGGGTTTCCCTAAAGTCCTCTTCATGAGTTCTTTGTGAATATACAAAGACTGAGTCTGCCGGTGAGTCAGCAAGAGAAAACACACACTTGTTAAAGAAGAGACTAACAAGGACACCTCAACATTTTCTGTTTCTACAGCAAAAAGATAGCTCTGGGTTTAATTAACATTTAAGTGTGATGGTGGGAACCTGCAAGATACCAGGTAACTTCAGAGGGTAACTTTTTTCTTTTGATAAATTAACTAGGCATCATATTTTTAAAAGCTAGATTAAACATGTCAAATTGAAAATCACTGCTTGTTCAGGCCAGAATAAATTGAGGCATTTTAAAAAACTGGTCTTGATACAGAGTATGTATTAAAACAATGAGCATTCCCAAGGGCACAGAATGCAATTGCTTTTCTTGCACGCTGACTCTGCATATCACCCATAACGAAGAAACATTTTCTACAGGTGGACTGCTAAGGTAGAACATCAATGAAAAAGGTGCACAGTATGTCACAGAGGCCAGACAAAATGATCAAGGAAACATATTAATTGGTGCAATGGAAAAAAATGCTACATTGTATTAAAGTCAACAACTTCCACTAGAAAAGAAACCACAAAAAATCCCTCTCAGGTTTACTGGGATGGCCTGGAGAACAGAATCTGGTTGAGCCTATAATATATATATTATAGGCTCAACCAGATTTTATATAAATAAAATCTGATATATAAATAAAATCTGGACATTTTTCTGTTTGCTTAAAAGAGTTGCTCTTTAAATGAAAAAGCTTGAGTTACTGCTACTCAGCAACTGTAAAATAAGCA